AACAAGTAAAATGGAAACAAATCCAAAAATAAACAAGTAAGAATATAGCAAACTAAAAAGCTTCTTTACAGCATATGTAAGAATCAAAAAATTGCAAAGACATTGTACTGAATGGGAGACAAAATTTGCAAATCATATGAAGAATTTTTGGTGTGGTAATTGTTTTTCTATATTTAAAATGTTATTTTTTTTAAGTAATGGTTTACAACACTGCATAAGATATGGAGGTACAGGCTCATACCTCTTCAGATGGATGTTACCACACTGGCCACCAAAGAGCCATAAAGTCCTACCATAATTCATTGCACTTCCTCCTTTGCTTGTCACCCTCTCCCTCCACTCTGGTACCCTCAATACTACAGTCACACTTCTACAGTTTGTTCAGGTTCAGTTTTATCAGTTTCTTTGTTTTCATTCTCCATAGTCCACATTTGAGAAAAACCATCCACTATCACTCTCTTTCTGATTTGTTTTATTTATCTTAATCTCCTTCCATTCCAACTATGTTGTTGCAAATGTCAAAGTTTCACTTTTTATTTTTCATAGCTGACTTGTATTCCATCGTGTATATATACACATCTTCTTAATCCATGTATTCATCCTTTCACACCTAGGTTTTTTATATAAATTGTCTATTATCGGTAGTGCAGCAATGAACAGATGAGTGCATATATTCTTTCAAATTAGTGTTTTTTGCATCCTTTATATGAATACCTAGAAGTAGAATACTGGATCATATAGTAGACCTTTCTTAAATATATTTCAGAAACCTCCATATTGTTTCCCATAGGGACAAAAGTGTACATTCCCACAAACCATATACAAGGGTGTCTTTTCCTTCATGCCTTTAACTAACACTTGTTTCTGTATTTTTTGAAATGGCTAATTTGCACAGATGTAAGAAGGTATCTCGTTTTGATTTGCACTTTCTTCTTAATAAGTTATGATAACCATTTTTTCATGTGCCTGCTGTCTTTAAAATAAAATGTTTTTAAAATTAAAGTTTTCTATAAGCATTGATATTAGGAAAATATTATTATGACATTCCATAAAGTTTACCCACATTTCTAAGGGTGCTTACAAGTGGATAGCTTTATGTTTACATTTGGAAAGTTTTCCTTTAAATATATTTGGAATTTAAAACCTTCATCACTTGAAATTTTACTTTCAAGGGTTCATTTACTTTCTTATCATTATTAATATTTAAAAACACATTTAATGAAAATTAAATAAATATGTGCAGGAAGATCAGACAAATAACTCAATTAGAAAGTCCATCTAATGTACAATTTAGGGTTGTGAGTTTATTATTAAGGATTTAATGGAACATACATTTTTTATCAATTGATTTAATATTTTTAAATTATCATTTTTATATCTGCAAATAAAATTCCACATTTCTAATATAATTTCCAAATATTTAGTAAATTTTGGGTCCTTTGGAACCTCATTATTGTTTGTTTAGATATTATCAAACTAACTTGTTACTTCAATTTTTATGCAACCTTTGTAAGTAAAGGGCAGAAAATACTTCTTGCATGAAATAATTATGAGGCAGTAGTGTCATGCTCCCTGTAAGTACAACAGTGGAACTCAATATGAGCTGATCTTAGTTCAACAGCATTGCCACAAATGTAATGTTTCACTTAGTTTTATGAACACCTGAAGCCATATGTCACAAATTTGTTGTGAGAGATTACATATGAAGTACCCATGTAGATGATGCCAGCAGCAACATAGAGATCTTTTCATACTGTTATTTACATAATGAGAGGGCCTCCCCTGTGGCGCAGTGGGTTGAGCACAGCACTGTGAAGCTGTCCGCAGCCTCTGAAGCATGGGTTCAATTCCTGGCTGGCTAGGGAGATTCCAACATGGCGTGGCAAGTCCTCTCCTGTCTTGCCCACTGCTCCCCTCAGCAGTGTTTTCGGTCTGTCTGCTTGTTCTGCTCCCTGCTGTCTCTGGTGAATTATCTCACCCCCCACACCTCTGGTCTGTGCCCCAGCAATTGTATAAATAAAAAATAAATCTAAAAAAAAAAAGAATTCTGTATCACATCATTTGTAAATAAAGGAAAACATTCTTATATTACATCCTAAGGAAGCATTTGCCTACATTATTATTTATGTCCATTATAACACACCATCCTTTGGAAATCTCGTTCAGCTTGGCTACATATTTGTAATATTAGTAGTTTTATAGGCCAATGTCCTTAGCTGCAAATGTGGAAAAATTCTATGTTGGGAAAAGTAAGTAGCAGCTTCTTGTGTGGGGATGCTTATTCCCAGTAGTTTACCTCACCCATAAATAGGATCAATAGCCACGAATCCCAGCTAGCAGTTGTCTCTCTCATTTGAAAACACTTACTTTATTCAAATAGTCCCTTTGGTATAAAGTCACAGTGAGCTTTTAAATAAAAACAAGGTGTACCTTGCCACTTCCATTGAGTAACCACATTTCATGTTTCACTCCTCTTTTTTCTCATTTTCTTCAGATTTGAAGCTGAGCTGCCCAGTAAAGTTTGCCATTTCATGGAAACAAATACTAAAGTTTAATGTAAACAGATATGTGTTTGGGGCATTTGGGAAACACTTGAAAGATTATTTTTCCTATTTTTTCAAGTATCAGTACCCGTTTCATAAAACCATATGTCAAATACACACCTATATTTTTGTTTTAATATTAATGTCACCTGAACATCTTATGAAAAACCCTGATTACTGTGTCTATATGACTTTTGTGTAATGAGACAAAAAACAATCTACCCTTTGTTTTAGATTCTATGCTTACTATTTGTCTACATTTGGCTATCATTTACTGTTGGTTTGAAATAAAAAGCCACCATTAAAATTTAAAAGTTGCTTTAACTGTGATCAACTAGTTTTATTAAAATAGGGTCAACAACTTTAAAAAATGTTAGTGTCATTTAATTCCTACCATCCTAAATATTCCACTATAATAAATGAAAGCTGACTTCAAAATCCACTTCTGAACTCATTTTTTAAAATGAACAATAGGTCCTAAACAATAGAATTGTAAGAAATTAGAGGTTTTACTAAAAGAGTTATTTAGATGAGAAAATTATAGCTTCATGTTAGCACATCTGCACCTTGACAATCAAATGCATGAGCATGATAATTTCAATGAATTATGCAAAATGCTAATTAAAAAGTCAAATTTACTAATCATCTCTCAGGGTCATAACTGAAATTGAATTTGAGTAAGGACAAACAATTTTATGAAATGCATTTTCATCATGTAATTTTGAAAACTTTAGGAACACATAAACAAAAAACATTTGTTTTTATATAGATTCTAATTGATTTGCTTTTCTTCAACCTATCAGAAATTATTGATTACTCTCTTTTAAATTGCTGCTACTTACTATAGCTATGGATTTCAAAAAATGGTGCAATAGAAATATACACAATTATAATAAATGTAGACTTTGTGTTTTAAATTAAAAAGTGATTAAACAGTAGAAACATTTTTTATATCTAACATTTAACTTTCAAGCATATGAAAGAAACATATATTTTTATGTATGTTCCATTTGTGATAAGTTCCTTCTTTAACCATTTTAAAAATGGTTCAAAAACTCATTCATTATATTTACTCTTAACATTGTTTGGAACATCTGGATATTTTAGAACATGCCTCTATATTCCTGAGATAAATAGGCATGCCCATGACAGATAACACGGTGATAAAATATTTTTTGCACAATTGCTTTCTGAAAATGATATATATTTCCTTAATGTCTCCCAAACTTTAATATTTAGTACAAAGTATTCTGCTTCTCTTTATTCCTCAATCATCCCATTTTGTTTGTCAAAATATGCTACAAGAGGATAGCAAAGATAAAGTGATTCTCTCTGTTTCTACCTAAAAATATTTCTTCCCTAGTTTTCAAGGAACTTGTGATAAAACAGCAAAAGACAATGCCCAGAACAGTACCTAGGGGCAGTGCCAAAGTGGGGGACCAGTCATTGTGGGTTTTTATCCATGTGCTCAATTGCAAGACACCACTCAGGTTCAGGGTCCGACAACAATAGAGTTTATTAACAAACAGAATATTGAGCAAAGGATAGATTCTAAGGCCACAAGTGACTGCCTGTCTCACCCCAGCATCTAGTAGTAGCAAACAAGGGCTGCTCATGCCAGATGGTCCTTCAATGAGGGTGCTGTACCTTCTATGAGGGCATGGCACTGATGGCATGCAGTCAGTAGTGCATGAGGGTATGACACAGGGGAGCAGCTAGAGGTGTTCACTGTTGGTGTGCTAAGGTGACCCTTCAGCAGCTCATAGTCTGAAACGCAGCCTGGACATCACCAGATACTGAACCAAACAGTGATGGACTCAACAGCACTAGGAGACAGTGCCAGAGAACCAGAGGGGATGAACAGCACTTAAAGGTGACCAGGAGAGTGCCCGTCATTGATTAGTAGTACCAATCAGCACTGGTCACCAGGTGGCAGTATCAGAGACACTTTGTGAGCTATTGTATGAACTGATAGTCAACAGCTCTGCAACACAGGCCTGGAGCCAGTGGTGCTCCTTACGGGTAACATCACAGCCAGGGCTTGAGACAAATGCAAAGTTAGGTCTCTGTGAAGGTCAAAAGAGTTCTGGAAGTCTAGAGATCTATGAAGGTCTGTGGAGGTCTATTTAATCCAACAGAGGTTGTCTACTGAGTTCTTCTCTCTTTAGAAACTAATTGTTGATTGTGTCTTCTCTCTTCAGAGGCTGGCTGCTGACAGACTGAAATTTGCTCTTGTTCTGTCTTACAAACTTGATTGGGCCATTTTTCAATCCCAAGCATCTGATTGGTCTAATTAGCACCAATCAGCTCACTTCAACTTTCAATCTGCATAATTAACTCAAGTCCTTGACTGACAGCTGGAGAGCTCAAACCTGATTGGTTTGTTGAGCTTGAACCAGATTGGTCCATTTGATCCATTATGATCCTAGAGCCAGATATAAAAGGGAAAAACCTGACCCCTGCCTAGGCCAGCCTGCACTCAGCTCAGAGCAGGCTATTGGTCCAGCGGGGTCAAGTAAAAAAGCCAGAGCCAGCTTTGGTGAGACTGGAGTCACTGCAACAGGCACCCCTCAGTGGAGGATGGTGAGAAGTGGATTGGAGAGGACTCTTCAGTCATGCTAGGATATTGTAAGGTCAGGAATGGACACAGTGCAGGTTTTCTATGATCCAGCAGACCAGGTAAAGGAGAAGTCAGAGCCCTCAGTGGCTTTTTGCAGGCTTTTATTGGGGTTTATGAGGTACAGCAGGCAAGGGTACTGGGGGACCAGCAGGCTGGCAGGCCTCCAGACCACAGCAAGTCTTCACTCTATCTGGGCTCTTCAGCATTCTCTCTCTCTCTATCTTGGCTTCTGCTGCTTCTTTCTCGGCTTCTCTTTCGGCTTCTACTGGTGTCCCTGTGACACTGCCCTTAAAAGTGCAGTCTTAGCCCAGGTGAATCCCATCTACCTATGCCACATCCTATTCCAGGTGCCCGCCATCAGGCATGCATTCAGGACCGCAAGGATCCATCAGGTATCCTGATGGCGGGAGGGCAGAAAAGCTTGACAATTATTCCTTACCCTACAGAGATGGGTCCCAGAAATTTTATGGAGGGATACCACTAGGATCCCAGTTTCAATGAAATCCTATAGACAAGAATAGAATAGCTAAGAATGTAGAATAAAGGTCATATACAAATAGCTATCTCCAAACTATTGAGCCTTTGTGCTTCATATGAGAAAACATGAGCATACATGTTGAATTAAATTCAGGTTATCAGATTTATTAAGTCCAAATTGGTTGTAGAACCTTGGTGCTTCTCATTAAGTATCTGAAATTTACTATTAATTTCTAGATGCTTTTGGCAGCCAGTATAAAATCATGTCCAGGGAGGGCCTACTTTCAGGATTCATTTGGCAATGCCTCTTTTGATTATTAAATTTAAGAGCTTATTACCTGAAATACTATAAAATGTTTAATGTTCCAAAACAGGTATTTGTAGAGATTCAAAACCTCTGTGTTACAGGGACAAGGTAGATTCTGCTAGACATTTTAATGCCACTGCTGGTCACTCAGGCTATAATTGGTTCTAATTAGCTCTTTCATCCAGCTGTAACACTCTTTACCTGCAGCTGAGAGGCACTCAGGTGGGTGGAAAAACCTCTTCTATTGAGTATTTGAAAACATCACCTAAATCCTTGCCAATATGATCATTATAAATGAGCTGCAAACGCATTAACTCTGATAGGAAATGGTTTGCGGGAAGTGATATTTGATCCAAACTAGTCCCACAAAATAGTAATCAATGTCCAATGAAAACACATTCAACTATGTGAATAAGGACCATAAATAAAGGCTACATATAAAATGTTAGACTGGACAGGCTGTGTGAGAGCTCAACTTTCTTTGTTTATACTGCTTTTTTCTACCTTACATAATAGCATTTTTGAGTTTTGTGAATAAAAGGCTTTGATAAATGTAGAACTTATAGTTTTATCCTATAAACAGGGTAGTAGAATAATAGGGATACAGAAATGATACAAACATGTTTATCCAACACCCAGTGCAAAATTTTGAGAAAAATGTTCCCCTTAAAATATTCTTTCACAGATTTGAATTATTTTCCTGACCTCTTAATTGGTAGCAATTAGTAAAAAAGGATTATATGTATCCTGATGGAAGAGTACTGAAACTAGGACTTATTCAAAGCAAAACAAACAGAAATGGAAAAAAAAAAAAACACTAATTTTGTCACACTTATTAGAGAAGCATTATATTAAATATATAATTCCTGATTTTATTTGTAAATATATATATATATATATATAAAAGAAGGAACTCATAAAACTTACCCCATTACTCCCAATTTGCACAAAATTTTTTTTTCACCTTTGCAATTGCTTGTTTGATTTTTAATTTTCCCTTTTTTATTGAAGTAACATTGGCTTCCAGTACTGTACGTGATTCAGAGGCATAGGATTAAACATCCTGAGATGCATGTCACCACACCACACCTTCCTCCAAGGTACCCACAGCCCTCAAACATAGTCTATTGTGCCCCAACCCCACTTTATTCTGCCCCATCTCACAGCCTCAATTCCACACAGATTTCTAGGATATCTTCTTGACTTGATTTGTATGACCCTTTGTTTGTTTCTCTATATTCCACATAATGTGAAGCAATTAGTTTTTTTCTTTCTCCTTCTGACTTATTTCATCGAACATTATCTCCTCCTTTCCAGCCATGTTGTCACAAATGGCAAGATTTCTCTTATTTTTTTTTATTACTGAGTATTATTCCAATATACTCCAATAGCACATTTTCCTAATTTACTCTTCTATCTTTGGACACTTTGACTGTTTGCAAAGCTAGGTTATAATCAATAGTGCTGCAATGAACATGGAATTGTATATATTCCTTCAAATTAGTATTTTCTCATTCTTCAGGTAGACACTTGGGAGTAAAATTGTTGGATCATGTGGTAGATCTATTTTTAATATTTGAGAAATCTTTATACTGTTTTCCATAGAGCTTTCACAGTCTGTTTCCTACAATACTGTACAAGAGTTCATTTTTAACCACATCCTTATCAACATTTGTTTTTTCTGGACTTTTTTTCTATAGCCTTCACAGGTGTTAGATGGTACCTCATTGTGGTTTTGTCTTGAATTGTTCTGATGATAAGTGATGATGAACATTTTTTTCATGTGCCTGTTAGCCAGTTGTATTTCTTATTTGGAGAAGTGTCTATTTTAATCCTCTGTCCATTTTGTGATTGCATTGTTCGTTGTTATTGAGTTGCATAAGTGCCGGGGACCAGCCTCCGGCAAAATGTCGTGTCAGGGGTTCCTGAAACGATGAGACGGCGTCGGCGAAAACGAAAGGGCTGAGGAGAAGGGGATGAGGTAGAATGAGGAGACACTGACACTTGGTGAGGTGCTAGTGTCTTCTGCCGAGAGACTCAGCAGGTCTTTATTTATTCATTATTAGTAATAATAATAAGAAAATACATTATCATGTGTAAAGCATAAACAATTAGTATATTATGTTTCCCATAGACTACTGGCCCCTACAGGTCTCAGCTAGACGGCAGCTTTCAAGGTTAACAGATAATAAACCAAACTTAACATTAAAGCTACTTATTTTTTCATTTAGACAATTATTTAAAACAGTGAATAACCGCCAGTGCATCCCTATCAGCTAAAGCCTAAGCATCAAAGGACTATTCTATTCACATGACCTTCAGCTGGAGACCAGCTGCTGCTCAGCTATCAGAACTTTTTCTACCTAGAAATTCCCTAACTCAAATAGCTTCATATTAAAAACTTTCCCAAGAAACTTCAAGAGAAAACAAAATAGAAGGACCTACTATGATTATTGTATTGTAATGCTTGTCAGGCATGCTCAATAAGTTGTCTTCCATTGTCAAGTAGGCCAAATCGTTTAATAATTAGTTTCTAATTTTCCATGCCGTTTATTTGCAATATACTGATGCATATAATATAGTGCCTAATGTACTTTTTTGGGAAATTTTTTCTTATTTATGACCAAGAACAAAAAGTGAAGGAATGTTAGATCTTCAACCTCACGGTGTGAGGCACAAGGAATCTTCAGCCCCACGGTGTGAGGCCCTTTGGCTGTGGCCCCACAGTGTGAGGCCCTTTGGGCTTCGCTGCTTGCCAGTGTCTTATCTGGCTGGGGCATCAAGGCCTCCTGAAGCACATAAGCTCTATGAATATCTTAAATAACTGCCCCTTGTTAGATGTATGATGTGTAAATATTTTCTCCATTCAGAAGGTTGCCTTTTGTTTCATTGATAATTTACTTCACTCTGTAATAGTTTTTTTAGCTTAATGTATTTCCATTTGTGCTTATACATTTTTGTTTCTCTTGCCTTTGGAGATAACTCACAAAGACATCAAAAAAGCCATTATAGTGTTTTACCTGTATTTTTAAAAATGTATTTCACATTTTAGTCTTGCATTCTTGTTTTTTAACACATTTTTTTAAAAGATTTATCCATTTTTATACAAGAGCTGGGGTTGCAGGCCAGAGGGTGAGAGGATTCACCAGAGACAGAGCGGGGAGCAGAACAGGCAGACCACCGAAATACACTGCTGAGGGGAGCAGCTGGCATGACAGGAGAGGTCTGCCACACCATGTGGGTATCTCCCTGGCTGGCCGGGAATCAAACCCGCACTGCAGAGGCTGTGGACAGCTTCACAGAGCAGTGCTCAAACTGCTGTGCCACCATGGAGGCCCTTTTTAACATATTTTGAGTTAATTTTTGTGTAAGTTGTGAGACGGTGAGCTAGTTTCATTCTTTGCATGTGGATATACAGTTTGCCCAACTTGATTTCTTGAAGAAACACTCCATCCTCCAAAGTATACTCTTGGATCCTTTGTTGTACCCTACTTGTCCATCTATATACAAGTTTATTTATGGATTCTCATACCTATCACATTGGTCTTACAGCCAAGTTTTCCTTGCAATCTTGTTCATTTTTGTTTGTGACATGTCCAGCTGCAGGACATGTCTTACAAGTGGCCGAAGCAGCTGTGCAACACTTGACAGCTGTGGCAGCAGAGACTGAGTCCTAGCCTGAAGCACACTTGGTACTTTTTGTAAAAGAGAATTTTTTGCATAGAAGCAGAGATTGGAATGGTACTTACCAGGACCTGGGTTAAGGGGAACAAAGACAACCAACTTTGAGAGCAGAATAGTGTATTCAACTCATAGGTTTGGCAAAAACTTTATTTGCATTCATAGCTGGATAATTTATCCTGTTACCTGTGACTGATTCTCCTATCTAGATATTTTTGTATTTTCCATATTGGCAATTCCATGGTAGGAATCAATTCCCTTGAGTTTTGAGATTATGACTTCTATAATCCAAAGGGAGATAGTTTAATATGAAGTGAAATTCCTCTCCTTTTGATGGAAATTGAATCACCAGGAGCAATAATTTTTTACTGAATGCAAACAGAGGGGTATATAATAGACCTAGGAATAAAGTGTTTTTAATATTTTAAGAACTCTCATTTCAGGGCTATACAAAAATTATGCAAATAACATATCATCACATGGTGGCATATTCTGAGGGTCATATAGTTGAGAGGAATAAGCAATAGATATAGGATATGTAAGACAATTGAGAGTCTTCATAGCAAAGAGATAATTATGCAGTCTCAAAGGAATGATGATATTTAAACCTCCATAAAAGAGGATAGGAGGTATTTAAATTAAGAATGCTTTGGTAGGTATTGACTAAAGAATAATGCAGAATCAATTTGCCTATAACAAAAGATTGATGAGAGCAGATACGAAATATGTGTCACCCTCCAATTATATGTTCTCTACCAAATTGTATGTACTTCTATGAAATTGCTTTTTCTTATTAAAATGAGATTCATAAAAATGTCCCAAATACTTTAAAAATACTATATTCTTCATATCAGTATAATTTTGTTTAGCAGTTGTGCTCTTTTATGTTCTGTTGGTATCTAGTACATAACACATATTTACTTATATTTTCTAGTCACACTATCTTACCAAATTTGGCCATATTTTCATTAACTTCCCAGACATTGAAAATTGTTTCACTTATTTGAAAATCAAACAAGTAACTTTTCAAAAGGATTGTCAAAGTGCATTCTTTCAGAAGCTTTATTAAAAATGTTTTTCTTCTATATTGTATTTTTGATATTATTATTAATGATCTTCAGTTCAGTATTAGGGACTATTTATTTTTGAGCAATTTAAACCAAAGAAAATCTGGGGAATTAGTAAGTAGAATGTAAGTGAACTATGGTCTCAAAAGTGTTGTATTTTTAATGAAGTTATTCAGATAATTTATAGAACTATGATGAATCTCCCATAAAGGCAATGTTTATTTATTTGGGGGGGGGGGTTGACCAAACTTTTTGTTTAGTATTGTGTAGTTACTGAACTACAGAATGGTTTTAAATGGCCTAAATGTTTTTAGTGGGGAATTAGCATGGGGGAGGTTGTTACAAATTCCCATGAAAATGTTAGAAAGGAAAATACAGCCAGTGTTATTTTTTGTCTTTGGTGGGGGTAGGAATGGGGGTAGGAGGGTTTTAGGGCATATAGCAATTTCCTTACATAAGCATTTGATCTCAGGTTTTTCATATTGAGAACATTTGAGATTTCAGTTTGGAGACTCTGAAATCCTAAACATAGCCTACTCCATTTACCCTCTAGTTGCTAGCTTGTTTGTACGGAATTAAGGATTCATCTATCCATTTTTATTTATTTTTTTTTTTTTTTAAAGATTTATTTATTTATTTATTTATACAAGCACTGGGCACAGTCAGAAGCGCGGGAGGGTGAGAGAATTCACCAGAGCCAGAGCGGGGAGCAGAGCAGGCAGAAGGACCGAAGTACACTGCTGAGGGGAGCAGCGGGCGGCAGGAGAGGTCTGCGCGCCATGTGGGACCCTCCTTCGGTGGCCGGGGAGCAGCCGGGGATCAAACCGGCGCCGCCGAGGCTGCGGACAGCTTCGCAACCCAGCGCTCAACCGCTGCGCCACCGGGGAGGCCCATCTATCCATTTTTAAATGGTTAGATTATTGTGGAAAATCTTGGAATTGTTTGCCTTACTGTAGGGTAAAGAAAATATCAGGCTTTTCTGCCCTTCCGCCATCAGGATAGATGATGGATCCTTGTCCTGAATGCATGCCTGATGGCAGGCACCTGGAATAGGGTGTGGGCACAGGTAGATGGGATTCAGCTGAGTTAAGACTGTGCTTTTTAAGGACAGCGTCACAGGGACGCCAGCAGCAGCAACAGCAGCAGCAGCAGCAGTAGAAACCGAAGCAGAAGCCGAAAGAGAAGCCGAGAAGCAGCAGAACGAATGCTAGAGAGCCCAGATAGAGTGAAGACTTGCTGGGGGCTGGGAGGCCTGCCAGCCTCCCAGCCCCCCAGCCAGCACCCCTGCCTGCCATATGCCTGGTGAACCCCAAATAAAAAACCTGCAAAACTACTGAGGACTCTGATTCCTCCTTTACCCGGTCTGCATGGGATCAGAAAACCTGCTCTGTGTCCTGTCCTGCCCTTACACTTACTTAGTAGAAAAAATTTAAGATATAATGTAGTCTTAAAGATACTTTAAATTGTAAAATAACAAGCTATTATACTATAGAAGACATTAAACATTTACTTGTTGAAAGCAATGTCAAAAATCAATACATTTAAACATGTTTTACTTTCTTCTTCCATAATAAAAATTATGGAAGGGAGCATAACAGAGAATTTTGAATAAGTAGCATTTCATTTTTCTTTTGGCCCTTTGGTAATCATGATAGAATAGATTCCACTGTGTTTGTTTCTTTGAAAAGGGGTTTTGGTCCAACATTGTACTTGATTTTAATATCTGTTTCTGTCTCTGCCCTCTATCAGATCAACCTCCTCCATGGCCATCATGTCCTGTGGCTGAGAAACTTGAACTCAGTATGAAACACATGGAGGAGAGTAGCTCCTTTCCATAAAAGGGGGAAGTCCTCTGTCTTCTCTGCTAACCTGATCACAAACACCTGATAGATAAATTATGTTCACACATTTCCTTCCATGAATGCCCTAATTCATTCATATCTATGTTCTCCAAAAGAGAATACAATTCACACACACTTGTAGTATCTCAGTGCCTGCCCATCCAGTAGGCAAAATAGCTGTGTTCAACTGATAGATAATTATAAGACATTACTATTGTGATGCTAAATCAGCTGCAATTGCACATCTGTTTTTTATTTAGGTTACTTCTCTGTGATTTTGCAGGCAGCATAATATTTTCAATCTCTCCAAACTAGCTCTATTATAAAGTCAAATTGAACTGAAACCAGCCCCTTTCTCCCTTATCATCCTTCCCACTTTAGTTAATAAATATATAACATTTTTACCTTAATTATTGTTTTCAATACATAGATTCAATAGTCCATTTTGGAAATTTTAGCAAGAGTAGTTGAGTAAGGAAAATACTGTAGGACCTGTATTTCATTACACTCATAATGAATATCATGTCATTATTAGCCTATTCCTTATGTATTCTAGAGTGATAGTGTATTTATTTATTCATTTAGCTAGTCTGTCAATAGGTTTCTGAGCAATCTGATATGGTCAGTTTTAGTTGCTAAGATTACAAACCTGGTAGCATTACTACTATATTGAAGCTAACATTATAATGAAAGAAACAGAAGTGAGAAAGATTAAATACAAAACATAATATATTGTGGTGACTGAAAAGGATGCAAATGAGTACCAAAGAGGAATTAGTAGTTTCAAAAATTGAGTGTTTGGTGAAGTTTTAGATACAGTAATATGGACTCTTCATTTTTATCTTTAACTGCCTTGTGGAGATTTCTAGATAAAAAAGACTCTCTGTCTTCAGTCACTACAGAGAGAGAGAGAGAGAGAGAGAGAGAGAGAGAGAGACACGGCAAGAGGGAGAGTGCTCATTTATTGATAGTAACAAGAAATACTTATTCTGCAATCTTTGATGATTTTGACCACCAGTCAGGGACAGACAGATGGACTTAGTAACCACTATAAAAAGGTTTCACCAAAAATGATCTAACCTCATCTCCTCATCTTATCATTTATAGGTCTGCTATCCCCACTGGTATTCAACTTCAGAATTTCCTTGGGTTATGCCACCGGGTCATTTCAAATAAACACCTTCCCTGATTATGTTACAGCCTGGCTATTATTGGTTGAGGTAAGGAAAACCCTAAGAAAAATTACCATTTGACTAAGGACTTGTTTGTAGAAATATTTGACAGAAAAGATTATGGGTGGAAATGTGAAGCAGGAACAGATCTTGTGTGCTTCTGAAATGATGAGGAGAGCAGTGCATTGGAGCAGAAAGAACACATTGAAGAATAGCAGATAATGAGGTCACAGGAATAAAGCGTTATTTCAGAAAATTGTAGATTATACTTTGGTTTTTTCTTAGTGAGACAAGGAAATAGTGGATATATTAAGGGGTGAATAGAGATGAACAGACTTGTTCATCTATGTTTTAAGAGTTGTTTTAATTTCCGTGTCTAAGGTAGGCCCAAGAAGGAAAGGCCAGAATTTGAAAGATCGATTAGGTGCAAAATTACGGCTTGGATAATAATGCTAGAAAATGGTGATGATTGCAAATGTATTTTTAAAGTAAGGTTAACAGGCCTTACTAGTAGATTGGATACTGGGTTCAGAAGAAAGAAACAAAGAATGATTGCAAGATTTTTCACCTGAGTAACAGTAAAAATAGAATTCCTATTTGCTGACATGGGAAGATAATAGGAAGAACAGACTAGGAGTTGAACCTTAAGCATGACATATTTGAGATGACTATTTAATATGTGTGATGGGAAAATATGAGGAAATAGTTAACTATTACCCTCTGGCATCCAGTGAAACACCAATTTGTCAATAAGTATCTATCAGTAGGTAGGTGGCTTTTTAAGTCATGAAATTTAATGTGATCACCAAGGAACTGAATATTCTTGTTATTGAAAAGGCAACCAGGAAGAAGCCAGAAGACAACCAGAGGTCAGGGAGTTGAGAACGAACCAAAAACAATAACAACAAAATGATGAGTCCAAAAAAAAAGAGGAAAAACCTAATGAGTCAGATAGGTTTTCTTTCTACTCAGCATCTCCTTACTAGTAGATTCACAATCCTAATTATGTGACTCCTTCACCATAACCATCACTGGGAATGAGCAATGAATAACTGACTCAAAGAAAAGCAATCCATAGACCTATAATGTGTAATCTAGCACAAATAGGTGAATTGAGACTATAAAGTGATCTCCATCAGTATTGTAGAGGTATAGATGAACCAAAAGATTCCAAGGAGTTATGAAAATGTATCTATTGTTACCAAAAATACATATTCACTCATTTATCCCTTTTTTCATTCAACAAGTGTTTATTAAGTGCACTATGTGCCAGATTCTTTCCAGTTGCTGGGATACCATGGTACCAATTAAGGAAGCTTGGGTTGTGTCAGGGAATGAAAAGACACAGGTAGTTGAATATTAGCAAGGTGTAGTATTGAAAGAGAAAGAGAGTTGGAAAGGGATTATCAGATTGGAATTACCCTTATAGACCATATTTTACTGGGTTATTATCCAAGGTAAAAATCACTCTATCTGAAGTGTCTCGCATTGACTCAATGTCATGTTAGTGTTCATATTTTAAAATGATCACTATAAAAGTTGGTTGAAGAATGAATTCAAGAAAAAATAAAAGTGGGCACAAAAGTCAAATTATAAAGATGTAGAAATCCAGAAAAGTAACATAGGAAAGAAGAAATAGTGGTTATAATAGTAGTGAAGAATGGAGAATATATTTAGAGAAGAAACTGACAGAATTAGACAACAGATGATATGGATGATGAGGGAGTGAGATTCATATATGCCATCTCAAAAAATAGTTATCAGTAGAGTTGAATTTACTTTTAAGTGAGTTGTACCATTAAAGAAACTAGTTTAGTTTCAACAGAAATTAATCAGCAGAAATTAAGAAATCTATGAAATACCCCAAAAAAAGAAAGAAAGAAAAAAGTAAAATATACAAGAACAGTATATGAGTGTTCAAAGATGTTCAAAGATGACTGGTATGGCTATGTTTCTAGAAGGCTAATGGTAATAAAAGACAAATTTTTATGTGTCTTTGGTAAATTTTGCAAGCATTCCCTCACATGCATACATCTATAGAATCAGCAGAATTCCACATTTGTCAAATTTTCATGAAATTCACTATCATATGGATATTTTCATATATAGTGATATTTTGAAAGCAAAGGTGTTACATTTCACTCTTTACAACAACAAATTATCTGGTATATTCCATTTCTGGGTAAGTTATAGAGGATTCCATTGCTGGTATTCTGAAAGCAATTTCTTACTTCTTTTATATATATATATATATATATATATATATATATATATATATATAATGTATACACTTCATATATATATATAAAAGAAGTAGAAACATTATTTGTATAAAATTATAAATAGCATTCCATAAATAAAAGCAACATCCCACTGTAAAATATTTGATGATTGAAAACAAAAATACTACAGTAAACTCAATGTCTTTCCAAAATAAGTTCCTAAAATTATCTGGGGGTGGAAGAGAACTGTTACTTGGACACAAGGACACCAATGTAAGAGAAAAGACTGGTGTAATAGCCTATATGAAGGTCACTGCAAAACTTAAATGGTTCAGCAAACATTGACTAGTACATTGAAAACACCTTACATCGAATATTTTACCCCTTTATTTTCTTGGTGTGGTGAATAAAGAGATTGTAAATTGGTGCCAAGACAGAATTGAGTATTTTTATTTGATAGAAATTTGTAATGAAGGGAAAGTGACCTTGAAAATTTGCTCTGCTTTGTGGATAAATACTGATTTAACTGGAAATGCTGCTAGACATTTTTTCCATATCAGTATTCACTTGTGTTTTGTCTTCACACAGATAATGCACATGTTACAATAAATGGTAGAAAACATTATTAAAGTAAGTTGATTCACCTCAATTTCAACATTGATGAGTGACTCAGAAAGTATACTTCTTTAGACATTGCATTTCATGACTTGAATGCTGTATCTATACTACCAGCCTGTTCCCAACTCTTCTTTCAAAAATCTCACCTGAGTTAATCCTACTCATTCTTTTAATCCTCGGTGAAATGTCACTTTCCCAGCAAAGTTTTCTTAACTCTTGCCTCATTCGGAGTCAGGGCTTGTATAATAATGCTTCACAGTTTCCTGTATTTACTCGTGGAACTATTAAACGTTTTTGATTTTGCATTATTTATATGAATTTTATTTAATATCTGGCTCCTCCATTGGAATATAATTTCAAGTCAGCAAAGAAAGTGTTTTGTTCCTGATAAGTTCCCAGTACTTAGGAAATTTCCTTGAAACACACTTATTATTTATGGTTTATATATAAATAAATATTTTTTCCATCATTGAAAGAAAAGACACACTTGTTAAAGGTATGAGGCTTTGTTTGGTCACATTTGTTCCATTTCCTTCTCATAATATTTTTTGCTGTGGGAGAAATTAAATAGTTATATAAAATTTACTATGATTATGTTTGATTTTGATAATGTTTATGCTAAAATAAAGTGTATTTAGTAATTCCTCTTGAAATATGTATATTCCATAGATTTTGAGATAATTTAAAGAGAATGAGTGAATGGCTCAGATAAGCAATGTATGATAAACAAATTCACAAGAGAAAATGTGCTTAAATCTTCACTATTTCATTTAAAATGTGGATTCAACTTTCCTTATCATCATTACAGATAAAAATTATTTTCTTATGTAAATCATAGTGTTGTAGTTTGTATTTATTTTATTGACATGTTTGTCATCTGGATTATTATATGACCAACTAAGAAAAAAAATTACAAAATGGTAAAACCAAGGATGGACCTTAGGGACATTATGTTAAGTAAGATAAGCGAGACAGACAAATGCTGCATGATATCACTTATGTATGGAATAGTAAAAACCCTTAGATATAAATACAGAAAGAAAATGATGGTTACCATGGGGCTGAAGAGTGGAGGAAAAATATAGAGGTTTGAGAGTACAAACTTGCAACTAGCAGGTATGTAACTAGTAGAGATCAGAAAATGGTGTAATGATTATAGATAACAGTATTGTATTATAAACATCAAAACTAAAGCTGAAATTATATCTTAATTATTCCCAACACACAAAAAAAGAAGTGATAATTATATGTGGTGTAGAGGTGCTAGCTAATGCTAAATGGGAATGATAATGCTGTACATAAATGTAGTAAACCGATATGTTTTATGCCTTAAAGTTACCCAATGTCATATTTCAAATGTAGCTCAATAAACGAAAGATGTGAAAATATATGAGGTACCTCAAATAGGCACAGGAACTTACATGAAGGATCTCTCATTTGCCAATCCTCAAAACATTTGAGAAAAAAAATAAATATCAAGCCACAGAGTAATGTGGAAAATAGATGTGGATCTATATTTATATAACATATTGAACAAAAAATAAGTAAGGGGCAGCTCATATAGAAAATACTCAAAATATTATATTTTTATATTCTTTCATTCAAGATGTGGCAATAATTTTTACCTCCCAGCTCAACCTGTGTGGAATAGATAGATTCAGTGGTTAATGTTCAAAGAATAAGTATGGAACAATAGCAAAAATGAGTAACTTCTTTACAGTGGAGAATACAGGCAACATGACCTTAACCAAGTTATCAAGTTTAATGTTACTAGTAAGGTCATGTTGGTATCATTTATTCCCTGATATAATGCTATGAGAATGGCACTTCTCCTTTATGGTCTTCACCCCAAAACTTATAACCCTGATCTGATTGTTTTAGGATTTTCCATAAAACGGCTGACCAGTACTCTTCAAAATATCAAGATCATTTAAAAAAATTAGAACATTTTAAGAGACTATCTGATTAGAGAGATTCAGGACACACATGACAAATTACAATGTGGTATCTGGGATTGGAGCCAGCAAAAGTAAAAGAACATGGCTGGGAATACTGTTGGAATTCAAATAAAATTTTTAGTTTAGTATTATAACAATATCAACTTTTTTGTTTTTGATAGATTATGATTATGCAAAATTTTAACAACAGAAAAACCTGAATGGAGGACCTATAGGAACTTCTTTTTCACTCCTCTATTATTCTAAAATGATATCAACATATTTTTTTATTAATCAGTTTAGAATAAATTAGTACAAGAGAACTTTTCCAAACACCATTTTTGTATTTTTCAATAATTTGATATATTTAGCCACCATCTTCTAATATAACATAATTTAATATGAAATTTACTTTAAAATTAACTAGCATCCTTTTTTTACTCTCAGGGCAGCGAGAATCTACATCGATGATGGAATCATGGAGTAAAAACAACACAGATTGTCTTTTTACAGAGTTAAATAAGTTTGCTTTAGAAAGAGAACCCATGTATATCCCACAGAATGACTCAAGATTGTGAGTATTAGGTACAGTCCATCAAATACACTAACTTTCATTTCTTTGATTGATGGATTTTTAGAAAAAAATAAAATAAATGTTTTGCTAATACCAGACTGACTGTCACATTTGATATTGCTTTACTGAGAGGGTATTTCAGCATTCCAGATCATGACAAAGGAAAATGTGTTTTGTAACAAAACTATGTGAGAAACCCTGAAAAGTTCAAAAGCTCATTTCAGATAAACTCTTTAGCCTTACACAGACATAATGTGCTACAGCTACAAAACTGAGCTGAAAATTTCCTGGGAATGTGCTTTCTTGTGAGAGCCCTAGAACTGTTTTTATCTCCCCAGCAAAGTTTGCAAGTAAAACTTTAAATTTGGGAGTCAATGACTCCAGGAGCAGAATTCAGGGCCTATATTTTGTGTGCTTGAGAATTCATGACCACGTTCCTCCATAAACTTTGTTAAGTCCAAAGAGGATCCAAAGTCACTAAAGAATTCCATTCTTTCTTAGTTTCCATTCTCCCAATTTTTATCAATAAATCACAAAGCAGGTAAGAACATGTTAGAATTGAAATGATTTAACACTATAAAAAATTGAAAACTTTTACTATTCTAAAGACATGCTTCTATTTTATTCCAATTCTATTTCTGCTGACTTGATAATTACATTACATTTCAAATGCAGAGAAAATAGTTTTAAAAGAATAAAACTTCAGATCAAGTCGGTAAATGACAAATTAGAATGAACACAATTATAGGTTTGATTTTGAGAAGCTGTATGGTATTGCCATGTAATCTATTATATATCCTTCTCTTTGGAATACAATTTCTCTGCATGCTCTCTCCATTCCTCTCATGAAATACACACAAATTCTTCTCCAACTGATTGTATTTCACTAAAAACTTTCTCTTATGTCTTCCTGAGGCCTGGAACTCCTTTGTGCAATTGCATCTTGGTTTCTTCTTTAACTGCTCTTTGTAAACATCCTCCAAGCAGCTTCAAGAGATGTTTCTTCCACAGTTAATGACTGTGCAATATATTACTTTTTATGGTTACCATAGATCTTTATGTACTGCCTTAAGAACATTGACTCTTATTGGATATCTGATAAATACATAGGAAACTTCCCTGGCTAAAGAAAGGTGACAGGCAGATATTAATATTTTAATGTTTATTGGAATCTTTTAGGAAATAGAATTGTTCTTCTGAATACAAAGAACAGTGATGTAAATGATTCTTAACTAAATTGGGGCATTTCTCTATTCTTAAAATTCTGTGTGTAACTTCTGTACTAGAATGTCACAGGAAAATGTAGGAGCATTTATACTGTTCTAATTACCTAATAGTGATTCAGTGTAACAGTTTTATAAGGTTATGGGGCCAAATATTAAGAAATTTTTAGAAAGAATTACTGCTTTACATCCCCTCTCTATATTGAAAATGTCCTAAAAGTCTGATACTTGCCAAATTTCATGATTTAGGGAATAATAAAAAATTGAAAATTAACAGAAAGCATTTTCCTAAAAGAACTTCAATTAATGTCACATAGAAAGAACCAGAAGAGAGTAAAGAAAAAGATAAAAATTCATGTGACAACTGTAAGACAAAATAGTATTTAGTGTGTGATCTTTTTTATGAAATACTCTAGACTTCTATGAGTACTTGAGAGTAGTAGAAAGTAGTTTTTCTCCATAGAAACTAAATGGAACAAATCTGTGAAAGGTTATTTGGGGCAGGATTGTGTATAGTGATGATTTGAGGCTGACTTGGATGCAGAAGGCTGCCAGGGAGCTAGCAGTGCTGGCAATAATGGTGCATTTAATCTGTGTTAAACTTATTCAGCTGTATATACATGATCTGCACTTATTTCAGTAAATAATTTTTAATTCATTTTTTTAAAAAACAAGATAAAATGAATTGTAAAAATTAAAGGAGAGACTATTTGTATCATTATGTTTCCATAAGAAACTATGTAAAAGAGTAAATCATATAGACTTTATGGGATAAGAACATTTCTACCCCATTTTCTTCTTAAACCAGCACCTTTTACTTGGATAATTTTGTACTTTTTTTTTTTTAACTTCACCAGCATTGACAATGAGTTCCTCTGCCTACTTAACAGAAATACTATAAAATTGTTTCTGGCTTTGTTTGTACTCTCTTGCCTTACTATCAGTGCTCTGTTTTGAATGTCAACAAACGTTGTGGAAAACAATTCAGCATCTTGAAGAAATAAAATTAAGTCAGAGCTTTGTGCTTCCCACTGACTTTCAAAATTCAAGAATTGCTTGTTCTCAATATAATTCCTTCTCTTCTTTTTACTTTTTGGTTTGGAAGACATGCAGACAAAAACACTCTACAGTTCAATGAAAATCACATGGAACAACAACAATAACAAAATAAATAAGTTGTTTAACATTATATAATAGCCAGTTCATCACACATCTTGTAGTTACCTGAAATTCCCTGGTTTCTATTTGCCAGGAAAATATAACAGCTATTTTTAAGATTGCTCTCTCCCTTTTCCATTATTTAACTGTATCTCAAATTAAAAAAAAATCACATATTATTTTATAAAATTGATGTGAGAACTCTTGAAAGATTGGTTAACTGAAGAGAATTTAGTTCAATGACCAGAGATGGACATATTTTTGAAATAACTTAGATAATATAATTGTGAATGAGATCAATACATTTATTTGTCAATAATTCCCAAAGCCAGTTTCAACATCTAAATATTTCTAACAAATTATTGAATTAAGTTTATTTCATTCAGATCAACTTTCACTAATGATCTATTCAAGGTATAAAACAATCAAGTACAACCTAATTAAAGTCTCATGGACAAAAATGAAGCTGAACTGACATAAGCATTGTATCATATTATAAATGGGAAGAAATCCAGCGCTAGCACATAAAAGAAAAATTAATGATAACTCTTTTTTTTTAAACTTAGGTCCACTATGTATGTGATATTTTAAGGTTAAAATTATTTTATGTAACCCTTTTGATAGCCCTGACTTTATATTGAAATATATTAAATATTATATATTTAGCGCTGGTTTCCTTAAGATTAAAATAGTGGCAAGCTTATAGCATTGCTTGATAATTTTTATAGTATTAATCCATTAATTAATATTATGGATCATGAAAGTTAGTGGACCTGTTAACAGTCACAATGCACCTAACCAGGGTATGAGTACAATTTGCCAGAACCCAAATCTCTTGAGAATTGCACTTCATCACTATTAGCCTTAGTAAGCATACTGATAATCACTGTTACTGAGTGATGGGATGACAGGAGGACAGTATGATTTATTTTATTCAATTCTATTTCAAGATAAGCTAAATTAATCCAACATAATTTTGCACAATTATTTAGGGTATTTTCAGTCATGTCCTTTCTTAGTTCTTTAACTAAGGTACTTTGAGAAATGTGTATTTGTTACTGAATGGTTAGTTCTTTATGTGTTTTAGACACCAAATATATCATGTAAACTTTTTTCTACTGTATAAATTGTCTCACTCTCTTCATGGTTGTCATTTGAAGAATAATATATTGTAATTTGATCAAGTCTAATATATTGTTTTCTTTCAATACTTTGCTTTTGATGCCAAATACGCTTTTGAAGCTTTATCTTTCATCAGGCTATGAAAGATATAACTTTACTCCTTTATTATCTTCTAAGAGTTTAATAATTTATTTTTTTAAATTTAAGTTTATGCATTTGGTGTCAATTTCTACATATAGTTTCTGATAGGGATCCAAATTTTATCATTTGTGTGTGGATATTTAGCTATTCAAACACCATGTGTTATAAAGAATGTTTTTCCCTATTGAATTATCTTGGCACACTTGTCAAAAATCAACTGAAAGTAAATATGTATTTATTTCTGGACACTTAATTATACCTTAGTATGCTATTGCTTTTATAATGGATGGTTATTGGATATTTCTGTGTCTAGTGAGATAATCATGTGTTTTTTTCCTTTTACTCTAAGATAAATATTATTTTTATCATTTACAACTGCATGCTGTATTTTTTATTTCTGACTTCTTAAAGTCAAGGATTATGGATGCTAACATGAGCAAAAGCAACACCTACAACCACGTACTATAATACATGCTTTGGTGAGGTAGGCAAAAATAGAGGCCCCAAAGCACCAATGACCAAGTCACTGGCATATGTGAATGTTACTTTAATCATGGGAAAAGGCTCTTTGCACATGTAGTTAAATTGAGATTAACCCTCCTTGAGTTGAGGATTCATTATGAATAATCATGGTGGGCCCAAAGTAATCGCAGAATCCTTAAAAGAAGTTCTTAGAAAAGAAATTTTTTGTAGAGTTATGTTTGTAAGGTCCTTAGATTAGAAGATGCTATACTCTTGTCCTTGAAATGGAGGAAAGGATCATTAGCCAAGGGATGCTGGTGATTTCTAGCTGGTAGAATAGGCAAGGGGAGGGATTATCTCCTACAGTCTGGTGGGAATGGAGCGCTGCCAACATTTTGATTTTAGCAGAGTGAAACTCATGCTATACTTTCATTTTTTTTAAAGATCTATTTATTTATGCATACAACAGCTGTGATGTGGGGGGAGGCCAGAGATGGTCAGGGTGAGAGGATTCACCAGAGACAGAGTGGGGAACAGAACAGGCAGATTGACTGAAATAACACTGCTGAGGGAAGCAGCAGGCAAGACAGAAGAGGTCTACTGTGCCATGTAGGTAGCTCCCTGGCCAGTGGGGAATCAAACTCATGCTGCAGAGGCTGCCGATTGCTTCACAGTGCAGTGCTTAACCCCTTGCACCACCAGGGAGGCCCTCATGCTATACTTTTAACTACCAGACCTATATGATAACGAATAAGTTTCTTTAATCCATTATTTGCTTTGCTTGACAGCAGCAACTAGGGAACTAATACATTAGAATATAATACAACCATGAGATGCTTAAGACATAGTTTGAGTCACCTCCACTTAAATGTGTGGGCCATGAAATTTTATTCATACTTTTTCAGCTTCTTAGGCTTTCTCTAGTGAGAACTGTGATGATTGCTTACAGTGAACATTAAATCCGTACAGATACTTCAGTGTGCTG